AGGGAGGGCAGGTAGAAGAAGAAGAGGAGGAGAGGGCAAAGGCTCGGGCTGATTAGCATTTAGTACCGATGAGGCCGCTCGCTCATGTAATGCGATTGGAGACTCCGGAATAATTAAGGGACCGGGTTTGCATGTTAACGAATCTAGATTGAGATGGGAGAGAGACGCTTGAGGTCTTTAATGGACTGTGACGTGGCCGCGGACCATTCGGGAGGCTGCCGGTCCTATGGAAGCCGACGCAATAAAATGGCCGGGTGACGGCACCCACGGATGTCCTGCAAGGACATTCTCCAACTTTGGCCTTTTGGGGAACCGGTGCTTTGTAGCATACACAAACTATTTTTGGGGGGTCCGGTTTATATATGGGCAAATAGTCACAGAGCCGTAGCTAGGTCCTTTTGTGCCCGAGGCAAGAAGGCCCCGTTCACACCTGAGCGTTTTACCGCGCGTTCCTACACTCGGTAAAACGCTCAAGAGGTGAAAACCCATGCTTGCCTATGGGCATGGTTCTCACCTGCGCGTTTTACCGCCCATTCGATCCCGTGGTAAAACGCCCAGTGGGCCCCGCCTCCTCCTCCACTGCTGGCTCTCATTGACTCTGTGGAGAGGAACGCGCCGCCGCACAGATTACTGTCTGTGATCCGACAGTGAAAACCGCCAGCAGAGGATCACCATAGCGGCCCGCACACGGCATCTGGCCTGGGCCCCACCGTGCCCCGGGCCCCATAGCGGCCGCCTGGGTCGCTATGGCGATTGTTACGCCACTGCTCCTGATATTCTTTCTCAAACTAACCTAGAAGCACTCCACAGCCACACGGCGGCCTCCTTAAGTGTCGCACTCTAGAGATGGGCCAACTTTTTGGCTTTTCCCTCGCGCCTCCTCACCTGTTGGCCTGGGTGGTGAACACTCCAATGACGGCCGGCCGGTTGTTGATGGCGAGGATGTCGCTCATGGACTGGAGGACGTCGAAGTAGAAGAAGGCGTCTCCCGGGACGGAGCAGTTGAGCCGGGCTTTCAGGAAGGAGGTCCAGTACTTCTCCAGGACGCGGGGCGAGCCGCCCATGTCGTTCTTGCACACTCTGGCCACCCGAGAGAAGGTCACCTGGGCCAAGACAAAGTCACCTTATAAATGGAACTCGGAGTACTTTATTTTTTATTTTTTTTTGGATGTACAGAGAAGGGTTCTGGTTCCCTACAAAGTCATTGAAGTGGCCCGTTACCATGACAAACAGACCTCACAACACACATATTGTGAAGTTTAGGGCTTTGCTAAGACTTCTCGAGTGTTTTCTTCTGTTGTGAGTCATTTTGGTGTCACCCCTCCAATGGTGGCACCCGTCCCGCAGCCCCCGCACCCCCCTTGTGACGCCACTGGGTGACAGCAACATTGGCAACAAACTGTTGGAGATTAACTCCGGTACCGCTGCAGCTCGCGGTATACTGAGACGCCGCAGCCGGAGCGCATCCCGACCTCGAGATCCGCCCAGCTGCGTGAGTGACAGCTGGCTCTGCCTATCTAGAGGCAGAGCCAGCTGTGCCCGCCCTGGAGCCAATGGCACCTCTAAGGACGGCGTAATTTGCTTGTGGTGACACCGCCGGTCCCGTGACAAGCCCAGTAATATATATATATATACACGCGGCGAGGAGGGGGAGGCGGGGCCACGTCCCCCTTTGGAAGGCCGCGGGGGAAACTAATCCGGCGGGCCGTGTCTCCGGCTGATAAACGATGGCGGGTTATCAGATCCGGAAACGGCCGCCGCCGCTCATTTTCTGCGTTGGCTGGCCGGGCGCAGATAGCCGCGCTGCCCTTTTGGTGCAGATGATTGGATAAGCGCCCCCTCCCATCCCCCCCAGTCTCCGGGACGCGGTGACTATTATCAGCGCGGTGCAGGCAGCGTGGCGGCGCGGGCGAATGTAGTCATTATCTTGTAATGCTGTGATGGGGACGGAGGAGAGATAAGAGACGGATTCTCTGAAAAGATTGCCTTGGTAGCGGCGTGGCGCCATTGCTCGTGTCCCCCCCTCAGCCAGCGGCTCAATCAGCGGGGGGCAGAAGGGGGGGCGTGTGTGTGGTGTCATTGCTCGTGTCCCCCCCTCAGTTGGTGGCTCAATCAGCGGGGTATAGAATGCAGAGACCACTGGTGGCTACTATAGAATGCAGAGACCACTGGTGGCTACTATAGAATGCAGAGACCACTGGTGGCTACTATAGAATGCAGAGACCACTGGTGGCTACTATAGAATGCAGAGACCACTGGTGGCTACTATAGAATGCAGAGACCACTGGTGGGCGTGGCTACTATAGAATGCGGAGACCATGGGTGGGCGTGGCTACTATAGAATGCGGAGACCACGGGTGGGTGTGGCTACTATAGAATGCGGAGACCACGGGTGGGCGTGGCTACTATAGAATGCGGAGACCACGGGCGGCTATGACACGGAACACGTACCTTGCCCAGGGTGGTGTACTCCATGGAGATCTCCCGGAAGAAGAAATACACGAAGTTCCCGTAGTCCACGGCGTGGATGAAATGCGGTTCTGGAACGGTAGAGAACACGGAATTAAAACATTGACGACCCACCAGAACCCGACCAGAGATTCTGATCCACTGTACGCAGATCGTTCTGTCCGTGGTCCCTCCTCGTCACTTCCTGTTCAGGGGACCAGAAAGGAAGTGAGAACATCCCACGGGGGAGACGGGGCACAGCGGCTAGTAGTGAATCTATACATAGAAGGAAAAAGGGGGCGGAGTTCCACGAGTAGAAAGGCCCACCTCCTGCCTTGTGGATACCTCTGCAGAGAGACCGCTGCTTCCACACAGAGAGCAAAGGTCCTTTTAGAAGAGACAACAAAGCTCATGCTTCCTGCTGGTCGTAGATCTCTAGCTCTGACTCTGCAGGGGGTGTGTGGGACCTCTGCAGAGAGGCCGCTGCTTCCCCACACGTAGAGCAAAGGTTCAGGCCCCCTCTGGTGATTCCGTCCTGTGGCTGTGAAGTCAACAAAGCTCCTATTCCTTGCTGGTCATGGATCTCTGACTCTGTGGGGGGGTGTGTGTCAGACCTCGGCAGAGAGGCCGCTGCTTCCACACAGACGGTGCTGGCAGCGGACAAGTTTTCCCAACTTCATGACATCGAATGTGATGTGTTGCCCCGCCTCCTTACCTCGGAGCCCCTTGGAGTCGTACTTGACGGTGCGGAGGACTTTAGATGGATTCTACGTAAGCTCCTCCCACCATGGTGGGCGTGTCTTGCGGTGGGCATGTCTTGTGGTGACCCTCCAATCATCTGGTTGGCCAGCCCAGGCGGAAATTTGCAAAATATTTTGTGGTCCACCAATCAAACGTCTAAAGGGGCTCTTGGTGATAATTTTATAGGGTCCAAGGACTCAAGGCGCTTACCAAATTGGCGTTGGGGCGGCCATCTTGGACACGCTCCGTAGACTGTCAATTAGGGTTAATTCAGCACAGGGATGGTGGGGGCCCCTCATAATGGGCACAGCGGGGGAACAGACCCGGGAACTCAGCACAGGGAGGGTGGGGCTCCTCATAATGGGCACAGCGGGTGTACAGACCCGGGAACTCAGCACAGGGATGGTGGGGGCCCCTCATAATGGACGGACCCTTTAAATCCGGCCATTTAGCACTCAGTCATGAAGAGCGTCCTCTGATTGCAGTGGCCGGGCTCGGCGCGGTGGAGGATTAGGGAGGATTATCGGCCTCCTCGGGTCTAATCCCCATTAATTCGCGCTGCGTCTTAATTGCTCAAAAAGTCCTTTTGTGCCTTGGGGGGCGCGAGTCCCG